AAAAAAAAAAAAAAAAAAGAAACTGAGAAAAGCCAAGACTCTTTTTAGAAGGTAGGAAGAGTGAAAGGTAAGAGCATTTGCTAATGAGTGCTTCCCGCCCCCCCTTCCCCTATCATATCCTATTTGTCCTTATTCATTTGCAACCTAATTTCTTTTAGACTATTATTAATTCATCCAACCTACAAATATTTAATGAGCATTGGTGAAATAAGAAGAAATGAGGGCTGATACCTGAGAGTGGAAAAGAAGGGATGTGTCTAGTTCCCATGCAGGAGTACCAGCCAAGAGAGTGACTTGGGGCCTTACCTGGAGTGGACAGAGCCACAGGGGTGTCCAAAGAACTTGGGCCAGATCAGAAAAGTCAAATGTATCATCAGCCAAATCCAGGGACAAGTTTGAGGCTTCGATAGCAGAAGCCTGCAAGGGGATGAATAATACAGTGATATTGGAGACCAGGAGCAAAGGCATGAGGGTGAGCAAGCCAGTACTTGTGTGTGAATAGGGTGGAGAAGTATAAAACTCCTCCCACAGGGAACGAGCTCCATACTATGTGAAGGCTGGAGGTGGCTAGGCCTGGAGGAGAGATTCAGGGTTCATGTGCATACAGGATATGTTTTTGTAACTATGGGCCTATTTTATTGCTCAGGGCACAGTTACCAGCATCCTGTGTGAACCATGCACCAAGCACCCAACTCCTAGAAGCAAAGTTCTCTGCCCGGCTCTGTCCCTTTGGCTTATTTTGTGGTTAGCACTCAGGGTATTGACAGAAATGACTTGTGCTGTGTGATTAGAGGATTAGAGCTGTTGTATTTGGCAGGAGATAACCTGACATCCTCTCCAATTACAAAGCCCAAAGTCCCATGTAAAAGGAGCAGAATAGAGTTGCCTTGGAAGTGTGACTCTTTCCATATCAACCCGAAGTTGCTGCCTATCTACACCAAACTTCAGTAGTTGAGCAAGGCCACACTTTGGGGACAGGTAGAAGAAGAAGCAGGAGTCTATTGACAATACCAGATGAGGTTTTTTTTCCTGCTTTTCTATCAATTATTACATTATTATTTCATGGCAGTGTCTAGCTTATTCAGTATCTGTCATTTTCTTGTTTCTGGTCTCTGCCTTGGATTAGAACCAGATTTTGTTAATTTGTTAATAAATTTAAAATTATTAATTAATTAATATAAATAAATAGTATTAATTAAAATTATTGGTTTATTACTTTTACTTTAAACATACAACAGCAGCCTGAGATACCCACAAAATTTAAGAGTTGTTGCTTTGGAGAGGAAAAGTGGATGAGCAGAGGACAAAAGACTTATTTTTTCCAGTATATACCCTTCCGTATATTTTGGATTTTGTATCATGTATATGTATTACCTGTTAAAAATAAGTTAATAACCATATGATCCAATAATACCACTACTGTGTATTTACCCAAAGATAACAAAAATACTAATTCAAAAAGATAAATGCACCCCTATGTTTATTCCAGCATAGTTTACAAAGTCAAATTAAGGAAACAGCCCCAGTGTCCATGGATAGATGAATGGATAAAGAAGATGTGATACACACACACACACACACACACACACACACACACACACACGCACACACACACACACAATAGAATACTACTCAGCCATAAAAAGGAATGAAATCTTGCCATTTTGCAATAACATGGATAGATCTAGAGGGTGTGATGCCAAGAGAAATAAATCAGTCAGAGAAAGACAAATGCCATATGCTTTCATTTATGTGTGGAATTTAAGAAACAAAACAAAAAAAAGAGACAAACCAAAAAGCTGACTCTTTTTTTTTTCAGTATATGAAGTTTATTGTCAAATTGGTTTCCATACAACACCCAGTGCTCATCCCAAAAGGTGCCCTCCTCAGTACCCATCACCACCCTCCTCTCCCTCCCACCCCCCATCAACCCTCAGTTTGTTCTCAGTTTTTAAGAGTCTCTTATGCTTTGGCTCTCTTCCACTCTAGCCTCTTTTTTTTTTCCTTCCCCTCCCCCATGGGTTTCTGTTAAGTTTCTCAGGATCCACATAAGAGTGAAACCATATGGTATCTGTCTTTCTCTGTATGGCTTATTTCACTTAGCATCACACTCTCCAGTTGCATCCATGTTGCTACAAAGGGCCATATTTCATTCTTTCTCATTGCCACGTAGTACTCCATTGTGTATATAAACCACAATTTCTTTATCCATTCATCAGTTGATGGACATTTAGGCTCTTTCCATAATTTGGCTATTGTTGAGAGTGCTGCAAAAAGCTGACTCTTAACTGTAGAGAACAAACAGATGATTACCAGAGGGGAGGTAGGTAGGGGGATGGGAGAAATAGGTAAAGAGGATTAAGAGTACCCTTACCATGATGAGCACTGAGTAATGTATAGAACTCTTGAATCACTATATTGTACACTTGAAACTAATATAACACTTTATGTTAACTACCCTGGAATTAAAATTGAAAAAACAAAAATAAATAAGTTAATTAATTTTTAAAAGCTGCAGCTCAACTTCTTTAGCATTTAATTTCCTAAATGAAAGATATACCTGATCTGCCATTCTCTTCACCTCAAATCTACCAAGAATTTGCTTTTGTTAGTTTCTTCTAAGACAAACTATATTTTCCTTTCTCTAGGATGAGCTGAAATTACTTGGAAAGCAAGGGGCCACACTGCTGTCATGCATTCAAGAACCAGCAACCAAAAGTCCCACCAGAAAACTCAATCCCAATCAGCTAGAGAATGTAGCAACCATGGAAAGGTGAGTGAGAGAGGAGAGGATATGTAGAACTCAATAATCAGAAATAACCAAAACCAGATTGGTACAGTTACTACTGGATCTTGCTGGAGTCAGGAAAGAATAATATTTGAGACAACAAAGGCAAAAACATGGTATCCATCTACAGAGATCTTTTTGTAAGAATGCTGTCCTGCCCCCCCCTCCCCCCGCCACACTTTGTGCTATAACTTTCATCCCAGGATTTCAAGGGAGATGGTAGTGTTTATTTATCTTTATTTCTAAATAACCGTTCATTGGGTGCTGTACTTTACACACCTATCGTCTCACCAGTAGAAAACGAAAGGCACATAGGTAAGGTTACCTAGGGACACATTTGAAAGCACAGCAGCTGCATCTGAAGTGAAGTTTCTGCTTCGTTCTGAGGGTATCCCTGATTGAAAAATGGAAAATGTGGGAGCCAGATGAATCATGAAAAAGTCATAGATGACAGACATATGTATAATAAGGAGATTCCCACAATTAATATCACTGACTGGAAACACAGGGCTACCTACATAAGCCTACATGGACTCATGTGGAAATGAACACTAACCACAATGTCACTTTCTCATTCTTTCTTGACAGGTTATTACTTCAATTGGATGAGACAGAAAAAGCCTTTAATCAGTTTTGGTCCGAGCATCACTTGAAGCTTAGTCAATGCCTACAACTACAACACTTTGAGCACAATTTTCATGAGGTGTTATTTTCTTGTGTAATAGAACTTCCTTTCATTGTTCAGTGACTTTTGGTTCTCTCTTCCCCCTTGGACTATGGATATTGAGTGTCCTCACTAACCCAGCCTCCTCCTTATATTCTTGCTTCCTCATTGATCATTCTCTTCTTCCTTTTTCAGTGGGGTAGCAATGTTCTAGAATCCCATTTTCCTGTTGACATACATGACATTTTGTGTATGGTTTATCTTCCTTTTAAAAAATGTTTATTTGTTTGTTTGTTTATTTATTTATTTAGAGAACACAAGCAAGCAGGGGGAGGGGCTGAGAGAAGGGAGGAGGGGCAGAGAGAGGAAGAGAGAATCTCAAGAAGGCTCTGGACTGTCAGCATGGAGCCCAATGAGGAGCTCAAATCCACAAACCACGAGATTATGACTTGAGCCGAAACCAAGAGTCAGACATTTAACTAACTGAGTCACCCAGGCACCCCGAGGTTTATCTTTCTTTTTGATTGATAACCTGTAAAGGTGGTTTTACTATTTCATCTACATGTATCTCAACACCAAACTCCCCTTTCCACCCCTGCCCCAAGCTTAATCTAAAAGTTAATGAACTTAAAAAAAAAATGTATATGTAGATACATAAAAGTCCTGAATCCTGTTTGGATTTTCAAGTTTTCTTAGAGTATACAAACCTATACCTCCAGAGAGGTGCTCATGGCTTATTTCTGGATGTTCTAATGTGTCTTATAGGTTAAGCGTGCCCTGGACAATTTGTTGGCAGAGCAAGCAGAGTTTACAGACATCGGAGACAGTGTGATACGTGTGGAACAACTTCTTAAGGAACACAAAAAACTGGAAGGAAAAGGCCAGGTTTGTTTTTTGCTGTTTTTATGGACTGGGAAGGAAATTGCTGGGGACAGTGACAGATCATGTCCACTCATGATTGTTGGAAGGTCGCTGAAGGACACAGGAATGCCCAAATCCTGCCTTTCCAGTCACCACACTGCCAGGTAGGGGGAGGGTTCCAGTAGACTTGCCTGCTGGTACAGAAGCAACGGGAGGAAAGGTCATAGTGGGCACATTATCTACTGGCAGGATGTAGGGGTGGGAGTTGGTGGTAAGGAGGGGAAACTTGAAAAGGGGAAACCAGAAAAAAAAAAAACCAACTAGTTTTATAACAAGCAGAATGGTGAGAAGGAGGAAATTGCTCCACATCAGTTCTGCTGCTACACAGAGCTGGCAAAGCTTTCTCCTTTCAAATGCCCCAAAAGTTGTCAATATCAAACTTGTAAAAGAATATGTGTTTCACAATTCTCATACCAGCATTAGATAGTTTCCCAGATCTGCACACAAGTCAGCAGGTAGGAATGATTCTATTTCAAGTCCTTACAAATTTGGGTTATTACAAATTAAGAAAGCCGAGTCCTCTCTTTCCAGAGAAGTTCTTTTCTGCTATTCTTAAATTAGATTCTCTATATTTTTGTCTCTTGGGGACTATGTCCTTGATGATTAGCACTTCCTTTCTGAGCTAATCTATATGCATGTTTTCCAGATGGTAATTTTGTAATATTAGAGATTTGCTTCAAAAAGTGTGGTCCTCTGGCCAGTGCATAGATGTCACCTGAGTGAGAACTTGTTAGAAATATGGAATATAAGGCACGCCCCCCCACCTCAGAATCAGAATCTGCATTTTAATAAGATTCCTAGGTGATTGACATGCACATTATAGTTAGAGACATACCCCTCCTGCCAAAGGAGAAGTAACAAATACAAACCAAGTTCACTCTGACCCTAAGAGCTATCAGTTGTGGATTCTGAGCTGGGGGTGCTTCTGCACATATGTGAATACATGGACCCACCTGTATACCCAGACTCTCACTCAGGAATCTCATCCATCCCTGTGTGTACTCCTTCTGTTATCAGTGATCATTTGAAGCTAAACATTTTAGTGCTGTAGGCATGAGTGATCAGAAACATTTGTCAAACAGTGGAAACATTGAATTTTGTGTATGTAATGACTATCTCAGATTCCCCAAGACAGTCCCAATTTTATGTAATTTCAGTTCTTTTCAAGAGAACTCATTATTTTACTATGTATTTTCACTTATATACATTCATATATTAGGGGGAAAAAAGCCTCACCAAGCTCAGTCCTTATATTTTGGGTTTGAAAAATATGGTCATAGCATATATATGAATGAAAGTAGCTACTGACCTGAAGGAGTTCATTCATTACCAGGTATTCCTTATCCTAGGTTCCATGGATATGGTGGCAAACCAGGCAGTTAAGACCCTGCTCTCACTGAATTTACATTCTGCTGGAGAGAGAGAGAGAGAGAGAGAGAGAGAGAGAGAGAGAGAGAGAAACAAGTAAAAAGTAATCAAATACTAATGTCAGATAATGACAAATGGTATGAAGAAAATAACAGGATATAAGTGACTGGGGGTGCTACTTTAGCCCAGGTAGTCAGGAAAGGTCTCTCTGAGAAAGTGTCCTTTGAACTGAGCTCTGCATAGCCTTGCAAAGATTTGGGGAATAGCATACAAGGCAGAGAAGTCTCAAGTATGAAGCTTTTGAGGCAAGAATTAGGCTGATGAGTTCAAGGAATGTGTCTGGAACTTAGTGAGCCATAAAGGAACAAGGTGAGAGTGATGATGATGAGGATTGGGTTTTATTTCAGTGGAATCCATTGGAGGATAGTCTGGGTTGGGCTTTAAATCACTGCTGGGTTGGCTGGATCTGCATGACTGCAACCACTTTCTCTCTTCTGCCTACCTCCTTGGACTTGCAATCTTTGGTACATACTTTAGAGGCCGCTGATTAGAGCTAGGGGAGAAACTTATGGTCATGGGACACAGGAATGCTCTGTGAACCCATGATTCATCTTTCATGGGCAAAGGATCTGAACCAGGTAGACTAACCCACTGCAGATGACCTGCAGAGCCCAGGCACATTCGTTTTACCCATCCTGTGCCTTACTTATCCAGATTTTAACTTATTTTCCAAGGGATATAGTAGACCTATTTCTCTGCCTTTAGATGAACCAAAAAAGCTATCCTATCATAACCAGGACCTTTTTAACTGTCTTCCCTCAGACTTCTAAGAGGCAGTGTTTCTTCAGATGATAAAGGCTTGGATAGCCTTTCCATTTGTCCTGCAAAGTGTTAAAGGAACGAGGTGATGTCTGGCTAGTCTACCAAAACCTGCTTGGGTTTATCCTTCACTCAGTACTCAGGGGTCACCTTCCCTCCTGGCATAGCCACTCACTAATATCTGGGTTGTTGCCAACTTCCTTATTCTGTACAGTGATATCATCCTCATGGGTAACCTCTGAGCCAACTCACTGACCAGACTCCTGCCACGTGCTTACTGAACCCATTCTTTTACCTTTGTCTGGTTTGACAGTTTGGCACTCGTTTATAATTCTGAGAAACAGTGGTGGTTTCAGCCCCTACTCTTACTTCTTTAAAAGTAGAATTTACTCTAGGGTTTTGGCTGTAAGGCATGTCGGGGCACTTGGTGATGGGTCATCAGGGAGCAGACAAGGACAGGACAGGGGAACCAATCTGATTTCAGCCTTGACCTCTCCCCACACATCCAGGGGCCAGCAGTTACAGTACGTGTTCAAGAAGGCTTGGAACCCAGATCAGTAACCTTCTAGGGATATAAATCTAGCTGGAGGGGCATGGCTTTTTTTTTTTAATGGAAATTTTCAAACACACACAAAAGTAGATCAACTAGTACAATGAACTCCCATGTGTACGCTCAGTTTGAACAGCCATTAACTTTCTGCCTTTCTTGTTTCATCTGGCCCACTTCTCCATATGTATATTCCATTCCAAGGCCATTATCTGTGGGTTCATTCTGGGTTCCTTGACACAGAGCATCACCCTTTCTCATCATTTTCTTTCACAGTAGACACTTTCATCTGTTATAGCAGTAGAATATGGGGAAAAATAAGCTGTTATTACAATAAGGGTTTCTGAATTACATGCTGCAACTTGACCATCTAGCATTCTGGAATTCTTGGCATCTCAAAGATGGCAAGCTGGCTTGTGTTCAGAACACCAGATTTCAGCCATTTCTTTCTCATTATTTCTTTTACTTTGGTGGGTTTTCACCGGATTTTCCTCAGCAGAAGGTGTATAGACTAAAAAGCTGCAATTTGTGTGTGTGTGTGGGGTGGGTTACAGCAAAGTTCTTTGAAGGCACCTGAAGGATTTAACAGTCATGGCTGTGCAGCCATCATTTATAGCACATGCAAGGAGGCCAAGAGGGCTAGGAGGCGACAAGACACAGGCGTTGGAGCCAGACAGGAGTGGATTAAAATCTTTGCTCTAACAACCACCAGTTGTGTGCCCTTAGTCAAGTTTCTTAGTCTTTCTGAACACATCCCCTCATCTTATAAACTGTTAATAATCATTCCTGTTCCCTGTGAAGATGAAATGAGGTAGAGATTTCATAAGGATTGAGTGCCTGGAGCATAGTAGATGATCAGAACCTGGAAGCTATTATTATTACCCATTCATTCCAGTACAGTGATCTTCTAGCCATCCAGTGTGGCTCCTGAGTTATATGTACGGATCTTTTCCCAAGACCCATCTGGACCTCCTACTCACACCTCTCTTCCAACATCTCAGTGTTTTAAGAACAGTTCTGAAGGGTGAGATGCTGCATGCCAAGCAAAGGGCAGGCTCTGATCACTACAAAGCACTTGGGAAATTTCTTGTGGCGAAGTTTCCTAGGCCCAGAAAACTTGTGCTATTCTTTTTTTTTTTTTAATTTTTTTTTTCAACTTTTATTTATTTTTGGGACAGAGAGAGACAGAGCATGAACAGGGGAGGGGCAGAGAGAGAGGGAGACACAGAATCGGAAACAGGCTCCAGGCTCTGAGCCATCAGCCCAGAGCCTGACGCGGGGCTCGAACTCAGGGACCGCGAGATCGTGACCTGGCTGAAGTCGGACGCCTAACTGACTGCGTCACCCAGGCGCCCCTTTTTTTTTTAATTTTTAAAATGTTTATTTTTGAGAGAGAGAGAGAGGGAGAGAGGCAGAGTGTGAGCAGGGAAGGGGCAGAGAGAGACAGAGACACAGAATCTGAAGCAGGCTCCAGGCTCTGAGCCGTCAGCACAGAGCCCAATGTGGGGCTGGAACTCACAAGTGAGGAGATCATGACCTGAGCCGAAGTCTGAGTCTTAACCGACTTAGCTACCCAGGCACCCCAAATTTGTGCTATTCGTAATAAATTTGGCAGCTGGCCTTTAAAAAAAAAAGACAACAGACTTCCTTGCAAAGTTTTCACGTTTCTATATTTGACTGGAATCAGACAGGTTGATAAACCCAATGAAAATCAGAATTTGATCAGCCAAATGAGGTCTCTAAGCCTAGGCAGAACAAATGCAGCCATTTTTCTGTGTGTGTGTTGGTCAGAACTAGATTCTGGAGCCAGACTGCCTGAGTTTGAAACCTGGCTCTTCTCTTTCCTACCTGGGTCACTTTGGACCATTTGTGCCTCTACTTCCCTTTTGTTAAACAGGGCCTATGTCAAAGGGTCTGTGGTAAGGAGTAAAAGAAACAGTCAACTTAAGCATTCAGAATAGTGCCTGGCCTATAGTAAGGTCTCCATGAATATTAGCTATTTTCATTAACATCACAGAGGTAGTGGGGCAAACTGTGCTACGGAATGTTTCCTATGTTCAACCTGCAGTGGCTGAGCAGTTCTAGTAAGAGTGTCTCATTCATTCTTCATTCATTTTGCAAATATTTGTTGATCTTCTACTACTATATACCAAGTGCTGTTCTAAGTTATGAGGACACTACAGTGAGCAAAACAGTTAAAAATCACTGCCTGAGGAGTTAGCATTCTGACCTTTTCTATGCAGTGGTGACCATCTGGCCTTTGCTGGACAGACCAAATGCACTGGGTATTTAAACCTGAGTTCTTTTAAATAGCTACTGCTTGATTTGTGTCACTTTATTCCCATATCATTACTCAGTTTTGTTTTGTACAAAAATCATTTATTCCTAAGTACCTAATATGTTCCCCATGGCACGTTTTAGGCTAAATAAGAGCTGGTTCATGCTCACAAGGGTCTGCAGCATTAGCCCAGGCAATACATCAGTGATCACAATATAGTGAAGTATGTGCTCTGATCAAGAAAGGCGCAGAGTGTTATGGGAGCACAGAGGAGAGGCATCAAAATTAAATGGTGGAGTTAGAGAAAGCTTTGTGGAGAAGGTGAACTCTGATGGGTGATGTACAGTTAGCTCCAGAGGAGTGTAGGTGTATCAGGAGGTGAGTTGGGGGGGTGCGGGGTAGTGGTGAGGGAAGGATGGGGCTTTCTAGGCAGAGGGAGCAAGCAGAGAAGGCATGGAGGCCCAAAGCTGCCTGAATATTTGGAGAACTATGAACAGGTCATTAGTTGGGTTACAGTTGGGGGTGAGGAGATGGAGGAGGGAGAGACACAGGCATGACCAGGTAATGAAAGGCCCTCTGCATTGCTCAGAAGTTTGAACTTTTCTTATGAAGACTGTGGGGATCCAGGGAAGGTTTTGAGGCGTGGCAGTGATGTAGACATGATGAGATGCTATAATGGAGTTGCTGTTTCATCAGAATTATGGAGCATGATTTGAAGGAGAGCCTGAAGGAAAGCAAAGAGACCAGCTGTCCTGGTCAGAAAGCAGGAAGGCAAGAACATACAGTTCTTGCCCTGGAGAAGGGCTCAGAATTCGACGAAGTTGCTAAGAAGGATATGGGCTCTGCAGAGTTTGGTGAATGACTGGCCCAGGAAAGGGGCAGTGTTTTTGAGATTGTTGAAACCATAAACCACTGTAAGTTGAGAGAGGGGCAGGGTCATCACCTGGAGTCATCATAACTCCTTGTGTTACTATAAAAAGTTAAACTAGGGCAAATGCATCTTACTGGAATGCTTAACGTAGTCACGAGGGTGCACATGGCCTCTCAGCTCCTGGACACCTTTGGAAGCATGGAAGTCATCTGTGTTGACTCACGGGTCAATGTTTTTTCACACAATTCCAGCCAAGTATATCACTATATCTTCTAGTTCACTGGCTAATAACATTTTATTGATCAAATATTTATGAGGTGCTTCTAAGTGTTTTCATGGAACTTACGTATTGGTAGTAGTGGGTGGAGTATGAGAGAATCATATGTTAAAGTAAACAAAGTAGATACTTTCAGGTAGAGGTCAAGTGCTGTTAAAAAAAAAATGAAAACGAAGTGAGAGAGAGGGCCTGGGTGGGTGTGTTGCCAGGAGTGACTTAGATACAGTAATCAGGGAAGGTCCTGTGAGGAGGTGAGCCAACCTGGGAGAAGCATCCAAGGGAAGGACCCTGAGACAGGGGCTAGTTTGGTTGCCAGCCTTGTTTAAACCATCCCTCCTACCTGGATTACTGCAGGAGACACCAGCTGGCCTTGCTGCTTTGCCTCTTCTCTGCTGTTCTCAACACTACAGCAGGAGCCATCCTTTTAAAAATATGAATGAGAGGCGCCTGGGTGGCGCAGTCGGTTAAGCGTCCGACTTCAGCCAGGTCACGATCTTGCGGTCCGTGAGTTTGAGCCCCGCGTCAGGCTCTGGGCTGATGGCTCAGAGCCTGGAGCCTGTTTCCGATTCTGTGTCTCCCTCTCTCTCTGCCCCTCCCCCGTTCATGCTCTGTCTCTCTCTGTCCCAAAAATAAATAAACGTTGAAAAAAAAATTAAAAAAAAATAAATAAAAAATAAAAATATGAATGAGATCCTCTCTTCAGAACCCTCCAGTGCTTCCCACATCATAATGAGTAAAAGCTGAAGTGCTCACAGTGGCATCAGGGCCCTCCCCAATCCAGTCTCCCTCTTTCTTCTGATTATGTCTCCTACTCCTTTCCTGTTTGCTTCCTCTGTTCCAGGTGGCCTCCTCCTGCTGCCTGAATATGTCAAACATGTCCCTATCAAGTACAGCATGGGTTGTTCCTCACCTCAGGCCTTGACTTTTCTGTGTCAGGGGTTCCCAGGGCCACACTCAGACTTGAAGATTTGCTAGGAGGACTCATAGGACTCAGCACATAATTGTACTCGTGGTTATGATTATTACTGTGAAAAGATACCAAGCAAAATCAACATGGGAAAAGTGCATGGGGCAAAGTCTGTTGGGAATCAGATACAAGCTTCCAAGATTCCTTTTCCAGTGGAGTCCCATCAGATGATCCCCCCAGCAAAGGATTGTGACACTATTGTGAAATGTTGTCTATCAGGGAAGCTCATTCGGGGCTCAGTGCCCAGTTTTTATTGGGGGCCGGTCACATAGGTATCTTCTGCCTGGCGTATACCAGAATTCTCTACTCCCAGAAAGAAAGCAGGGATTTAGTGTAAAGCATATTGTTTGTACAAATGGCACAGTGAGCCATTCTTATCAGGGGATGGCAGGAACCCTCCTGACATTCCTAGATGGCACCCAAGGCCTAACCTTACAAACAGGCCTTGCAAGGACAGTGGTCTCTGTCTTGCTATGCTAACGCTTTGGCACCACTTGGATAGCACCTTCTCAGTGAGTCCTTCTCTCACCATCCTACTTAAAATAACTCCTTACCAGCACTCCCTGCCCTTCTCTCCCGATTTGATCTTTCTCTATAGCACTCATCACCAATTAAGGTATTATATAATCTACATATCTCATTGTTTATTGCCTGTGTGTTCTATTAACATGTAAGCTTCATGAGGGCAGGGATTTTAGCTGCTTTACCACCAAACCCCTAACATGACAGTGTTTGGCATTTGGAAGGTCCTCAGTAATATGTGATGAATGAATTAAAAACAGAAAAACATGGCACACGTGGTTAGAACAAAGCAAGCCATGCAGGGAGAGGTAGGAGGCGTGGTTTCTGGTCAGATGAATTCAGAGCAGAGTGGGATCCTGTGAGTCACATGAAGGGGTTTAGATAAACATACTTCTTAAAGTTTCATGATCCCTCAGAGTTGTCCAAACCAGATCTTTACCAGTTTCCCAAATTCAGCTAACTCTACTCTCTCCTCATGTCACATGCTGATCCTTTTCCTTTTCCATTTAGTTTACAGGAGAATTCAGAGTCTCCAGTTCTGGTCAGTATAACACTTCATGCTCTTCTGCCAAGAACTTATCACAGTTGTAATAATTGAATTACGGGTATAATTTATTTAACAATCTGAGTTCTCCATTAGACTGAAAATCATGGCTTGTTACCACTAGAGTCTCAGTGCCTCACCCAGAACTCAACAAACATATGAATGAATGGCTTGCTCTTCTTCAAGGTGCAGGTGACCCTGGACTAGGCTAGACTTCCTGGAGACTTCAAACTGCCACAGAGCTTTCCCAGGTTCCCCAGTTCCGACTCTCAGCTTAAGACCTGAATCAACATCTCCCTAAGTTGTTCCTGATTTGGAGCACACGGTAGGCAAATATCAGCCTCACCATGACCTGGCTTCTGATGCTTGGTTTGGACGTTCACTTCACAGGAGCCCTTGGAAAAGGCCCAGCTGCTTGCAGTAATTGGGGACCAGCTCATCCAAAGCCACCACTATGCGGCAGACTCCATCAGACCCAGGTGTGTAGAGCTCAGGCACCTCTGCGATGACTTCATCAATGAAAACAAGAAAAAATATGACATTTTAGAAAAGTCCTTGGAGTTGCATAGACAACTGGACAAGGTGAGCACAGCAAAGCCATGACCTGATGTTTGCTAAATTTTCTGCAAAACAGTCTTAATCATACTCATCCTCCCTGCCCCACAATATTGCTGAGAGGATAATGTACTTCTTATGAAATAGTGCTCAAGAGGCATTAAAAGCTGTGAAGATTCTAGGTCATAGAGGCATTGGAGGTAAAAGTGCCCCCACCATCCCACCATATCCCATTAGAATGAACTAACATTCATTTTCCTCTGTGTAGACCTGGACTTAGAGCGTGTTTTGGCCCATGGGACATTTCTTGATTCCCCTTCAGACAGAGAACCAAGCACTATATTTGCAAAGTGCTTCTCATATATAGGCATCAGATTATTAATCCTTTTGGAGAAACTGAAGTACTAATGACCATTATACACTCCTACCTGCTATTTATTGAGTACCTACTATGTTCCTGCCAGAAGCATAATTATGTCATCTATTTAATCCTCAAGACAACCTGTGAGGAAAGTATTAATGGCATTATTTTACAAAGGCAGAAACTGATATCCATCATGGTGAAGTCAATGGTTCACAACATTTAAGACATGAGAATCAGTTTGCTATAATTGCAGATTCTCTAATGTACCATTCTGAAGACTCAGATTCAATACGTCTAGGCTGATGCCCAGGAATCAGTATTTCCGCCAAGTCCCCAGGTGATTCTGGTGCAGGTGGTACAGGGACAACACCGAGAAACTCTGGGATAAGTGACTGCTTACGACATACCTGGGGTAAAAATAGGGGATTGCAGATTTGAAGTCAGGACTGCCAAATTCCAAACCCGAGGCTCCCTAGATTAGACAGCAACACTGTGTGCAGAGGGCTCACAGGGAATGGGTGGAGCTCTGGTGCCCTTCAGTGGTGATCTCTGAGGCAGGTGCCCGGTCAGCAGGGGCAGTGACTTCTGGAGCCTTCCCTGTCAGCTGTTTGCAGGCAGCATGTGGCTCACGGCCATGAGTCAGCATGCTCCATTCCCATAACTGTTTCTCTCTGATGGCCAGGGGCACTCGCCCAGGCTGTTTATATCATCCCAATGCCAAAGGGATTTTAGTATCAATGAAATACAGCTGTTCCAGAAGCAAGTGGCTCCTAAGGGCCTGGTGCACAGTCTGTCCTGTGTGCTAAACTCTGCAGGATCAGCTGCTGTTTTTCTCACTCCATATCTGCTCTAGAGATAATAACCTAATGCTGGTGTGTGTGTGTGTGTGTGTGTGTGTGTGTGTGTGTGTGTGTGTGTGTCTGGGAGAGCAAGCATCTGCTGTGACTCTGCAGAAGACCCCAGCTTAATGTTTTCTGCAGATCTAGGTATGTTTTAAGAGAAAGTTTTCACATTATATACTAAAGCATGATTTATATTATTTTGAAAATCCAAAAATGTAGGAAGGAGAAGGAAAAAAGTTTCTTATGGGCATCTACACATGCCATCCCCCTCCTTATCCCTACACATTGGTAATCACTAATTTTTAAATATCTTTATTTTGTTTTGTTATTCTAAAAGTAGTACACATTCAGCATAAGGAATTTAGGGAAAAAATATACAAACTTAAGTTGCTTATAATTTTCCCACTTAGAGATAACTACTCTGGAGTGCTCCCTTTTGTTCTTTTTCCCCCTGTATAGTTATTTTACGTAGCTTTTCAGGTCACATGGTAAATGGAAATGCAGATGTGCTTGCACTGGCAGCCTCGTTATACATAAATATTCTGGCAGCACAAGGGTCCCTGTCTTTCTGTTTAAGTCTTTAAAAAATTAAATTGTTAGAATTCATCACCTATCTGACTTCATCCCAGCATTCTGGAAAAAGTTTGAGTATTGCTGTTGTGAGTTACAAAGCTTTGCATTCTTCGATGCTTCCCTAGGAAAGACAAATACCAGTAAATGCAAATGTGGACAGAGAAAAGTAGTGTTTTTGTTAAAAGGGATGTTCCCTTCCCTAGGAAGACGTGTAGAGTCCAGGTCTAATGTCTCATTTGTCACCCTATGGTCTTGTAACCAGTTAGGATGCACAATGAATGGCCTAGAATGTAAACCTGAAAAGTCATTGGTTACATTTCTCCACAGTTAAACCAAACTTAGGAATACCTAAGTCTCTCCTTTTGGAGATGTAGCAATTACTGTCTGTGGAAGAGAGAAGAATGTTTATACGATTCTTTTTTACTGACTGGATGACTTTCCTGAGATGTGGACAGATGTAAAATTAGTTTGGGCTTGTCCACCTTATAGTTGCATTGACAGTGGTTAGACCTCTGAAGTTTATGTTGTCCCATGACAATTTCCTGTTGTCTTAGGATCCTTCTAGACCACAGATGAGCTCAGACCTCCTGAGGGTTGTGGTCAGGCTGACTGCATAGGGCACTGTGTTTCTTTTGAAAAGGTCAGCCAATGGTGTGAAGCAGGAATCTACCTTTTGGCTTCCCAAGCTGTAGACAAGTGCCAGTCACGAGAGGGAGTTGACGTTGCCTTGAACGACATTGAGGCATTCCTGGGCACTGCGAAGGAGTACCACTTGCCCAGCCACATGGAGTTTTACAGCCAGTTCGAGTTGATACTCACCCTTGACCTAAAGGTAATGTTTCTGGGTTATTTTAATCTTGTGGTTGGAAAGAAGCACTGGGGGCCTTTTGACTATTGCTTAAGAAAGTCTGGGTAGGATGTACTGAGCAGGTTCACCAATTCCTGTGTTCTGAGGTGGCCTCTTACACTCTTGGTCTGTGCTTCCTGGCAAATACCCTTCACGGTCTCACCCAAATATCACTCTCAGTCATTCGTTTCTCTACAAATACTCATCAGCATCTCTGATATACCAAATACTGTGCTATATATTGGCACAGCAATAATAGACATTCTTTCATCTCTGATGGAACCTAATAGGAGAGGCTGACATTAATAAATGTCAAACACAAAACATAAGAATGTGTTACAGGTTAAGATAAGTGTTCTGGAGGAGGGATTTGGGATCCTGCTGAGCATGTGATAGAAAAACTTGACCTGGACTGAGAATACTTGAGCCAAGGCCTGGAGAATGTGTAGAGATGATGGGGGAGCCTTTCCAGATTAGAAGTAACAGCATGTGCAGAGGACACAGGCCTGGAGGGAGTCTGTTACAAGTGCAGAACCCAAAGGTCAGGGTGGCTGGAATACAGAGAGCAAAGGAAGGGTGTTTGGGGTGAGATAAGAGAGGGGCAGATGAGGTGGGCTTTGTGGGCCATCTTAAGGAGTTTGGTCTTTATTCTAAGAACAGTGGGAAGCCACTGAAGGATTTAAGCAGGGGAATAACTTGATTGGATTTGCGTTTTGAGAGGAGCACTCCTCTGTGAAGTCAGCAGAATTCTGTATGGCACACCTTCCTCTGAGATTCCCACCACCTTGTATGTGTCTCTTCAGTAACACCTTCTTTACTTCTTTGAGTCACGGGCCTCTTTTGAGTCATGGAATCTGATTCATATACTTTCAGGACCTGCATACTCAAAGTGATTAAAGAGAGTTTGATATAGGTACTTTTTACAAAGATATGGCAGGATTTAGGGAACCCAATAAGGATGGTGAAGGTCCCTGGGGCTAGCAAGAAAATGGAAGCAGTTACCACCCATAAGCCTAAAGAGCAAAGGGGAACCCAAGAAGCACTGTAACTGTGACTGTGACAGGCAGCTAGTAAGGGTTGTGGCCTTGGGCAGAGGAATGCAACTATTAATGGAGAAATATATATCCCTACTCTCCTCTCTCCCTCTCTTGGATGTCCAGGTAGTGCTTCCCTTTGGCCAAACCAACTAAAAGCCCATAGGCAAGTGAGCCTATCCAACAGAGTCCATACAGGTCAGCTTCCTGGGACACAAAGCAGGGAAAAGAAGATGTAGTAGAGTGACAAATAGGGAATATCCAGCATATGTAACTTTTATAATTAATTTTATGGGATGCCCTAAAGCCCATCCATGAATTCAGGCTAAGAGCCTTTGCTGTAACATGTTGTATACCACACTACATTCTACTTATTTATTTTAAAAATTAATTAATTTAATTTTAGAGGAAAATTAATTTTCCTCTAAATTTTAGTGGGAGGGAGAGAGACAGCCATCAGGGGAGAGGGGCAAAGGGAGAGAGACAATCTTAAACAGGCTCCATGCTCAGTGTGGAGCCCGATGCTGGGCTCAATCTCATGACACTCAGATCATGAGCTGAGCCGAAATCAAGAGTCAGATCCTCAACTGACTGAGCCACTCAGGCATCTCTATTTATTTATTTTATTTTTCTTTAAGTTTATTTATTTATTTTGAGAGAGAGAGAGAGAGAGAGTGAGAGTAGAGTGGAAGAGGGTCAGAGAGAGAGGGAGAGAGAGAATCCCAAGTAAGCTCCCCACTTTCAGTGCAGAGCTCCATGTAGGGTTTGAACTCATGAACTGTGAGATTATGACCTGAGCCAAAATCAAGTTGGACATTTAATGGACTGAGCCACTCAGGGCTTCCCATCTACTTATTTATTTTAAATGTCTGTCTTGCTTATTACACTGGGAGCTCCTGAAGGGCAGGAGCCTCATCCACCCCTGCATTCTTGTGCCTAACCCTTGCCTGGTGTCCAATTTATATTTATTGAACAAGTGGGAAGGCAGGTGACAGAGTGGGCAGATTACAGTGGGGGTAGCTCAGTATGGAGTTGTATGTTAATGATGTTCTTTCCCTTAAACCTCTTGGTGGTAAGCTGTGATCTTGGTAAGGGGTGGGGGATGTGTAGGCAGATACCCTCCCCTAACACAAAGATCCTTCTACTTCCTTGCAGAAGGAACAAAGACAAGGCCCATCTGGTGTAGGTTCTACATTGCAGACCCAGTATTGGTAGCTCCAGGTCAGATTCCTAAGGCAAATCTGTCTCACCCAGCTCCAACTCCATTAGTTGCTCAAATAGGTGTATCAGGTCCACCAGGAAGATTTGTAGCCACAGCTGCTGTGCTGCCCAACTTCAGTGAACTTTCTGACCATACCACCTACCAGGAAATGAATAAAACTTAATAAGCCACCTCTGAGAAATATGCAGAAACATGAAGGAAGGAGAGGATTATAAGAGAAATATTTTTCGAAAAATCCTGTAGGTCAAATGGATTAAAACATCTCCAAAGTCCATCTTTACTTCTTTTGGTTTGGAATAAAATTTTAGGTTGTAAAATTTAAATATCCTGTTGTGTCAAAGAAAGTTTTGTCCACTGAGAAGTAATGACTTTATTGTCAAAACTGGTACTCTATACATATAAAAATATTCCTAGATATATGTATATGTAGATATGGTACAGACACATGTATCTTTTCACTTTGACAGTTGAGATAGCCTAGAAGCAATGAGACCCCCCAGCGCCAATAAGCACTCCTAGCACCGAGATCTTGGTTTCTAATACCATTCTTCAGTAAAGGAGACCTAGGCTTCTTAGAGAAATGGCTGATTCTAGGGCTGGGGCAGGAAATATGTAAGGTGATCTTACAGCATCTTGTACTGCCGGACTGAACTACTAAAAATGAAACAACAAACCATAGTGATGGGATATAGGCAACAACTGAAGAGAACTGATGACCAATGCTAGAACAGTTAGAACAACAAAATTAATTAAGTACTATTGGATTACAGCCCCAAAGAAATTATATATCCATGAATCCATTCTGATATGAATAAATGATGGAATAAATAAATAAATGGGGCAGATGAGACTAATCTCCTATGAAGAATTCCAAATTATTTATGTAGATACTTTGCTCTTGAGGAAGTAGAATATAGTTTTCCAACCCTTAAATGTGGGCTGTACATAGTGACTTCCTTTCAAAGAGTATAGAACAGAGAAGGAGAAACAAAAGTGAAGTGACTTTACACACAGGACCTCAGCCAGGTGACCAAGGTCAATATCAACAGTGTTGTTAAGTAGATATGATGTAACCTTGATATGATGGATGAACATGGTACTTTACTTCCGTGGTCTTACCCCCAAAGCCTTTAACTCCAGTCTAATCATGAGAAAAACATCAGATAAATCCCAGTTGAGAAACATGCTACAAAATAACTGACCAATGCTCCTCAAAATAGTCAAAGTCGTCAAAAATCAGGAAAAGGTGAGAAATTGACACAGCCAATAGGAGCCTAAAAAGTCATGACAACTACATGTAAGTTGGTATCCTGGATAGGACCCTGGACAGAAAAGTACATTAGGTAAAACTAAGGAAATCTAAGTATAAAGCATGGACTTTTATTTAATAATAATTATAATAATTTTAATTATTATTATTTTAATTATAATAATTTTAATACTGAAAATAACATATCAATAATGTTTTATTAGTTGTAAGAAATGTACCATACTAATGCAAACTGTTAATAATAGGGGAAACTGGATGATCTATATGGGAATTCTCTGTACTATTTTGTAATTTTTTTGTAATTCTGAAACTATTAGAAAAAATAAAATTTATTTCTTTTTTTTTTTAATTTTTTTTTCAACGTTTATTTATTTTTGGGACAGAGAGAGACAGAGCATGAACAGGGGAGGGGCAGAGAGAGAGGGAGACACAGAATCGGAAACAGGCTCCAGGCTCTGAGCCATCAGCCCAGAGCCCGACGCGGGGCTCGAACTCACGGACCGCGAGATCGTGACCTGGCTGAAGTCGGACGCTTAAACGACTGCGCCACCCAGGCGCCCCTAAAGTTTATTTCTAAAACACTAGTACTCCATGTCTAACCAGTTGAATCTGTTACATTTAAGACATGGTAATCATCATGGTAAGTGGTAAATCATGGTAAATCATGGTAAACTGCTGTTCTTGTAGCAGCCACCTTGTCTGTCTGAGGCTCTTCAAGTGCCTTTCTGCACTATCCTCTTGGTGCTGCTGTTTTGATTTTTCTCCCTCCTTTGCTTTCACTGCCCAGTTTAGGTAATTAAACAATCGCAGTAACAAGTAGAAAAATTCAATTCTTTAAATATTCACTGTGTGGGGCAGGGGGCACCTGGGTGGCTCAGTCATTTAAGCGTCAGACTCTTGATTTTGGCTCAGATCATGATCTCACAGTTCCTTGAAATGGAACCCAGAGTCAGGCTCTGCACTGACAGCTCTCTCTCTCTCTCTCTCTCTCTCACAAAATAAACAAATTAACATTTTTTAAAAAAGAACAGAAATTAAAAAAAATAAATATTCACTGGGAATCCAGTTTGTGCTTTATTCTGGGAATACAATAATGAAAGTCACAATGCCCATAATGAAGGTGCTGGCAGTTTAGTGGAAGACAAACATGTTTCCGGTAAGTGTGTGTTGGTCCAAGAGCATGTGGAATGGAAGGGATAGTGGGGCACGTAGACGAGGCAACGGTCAGCTCAGCCTGAAGAAGAAGAAGACATCATAGGAGAAGATGCCTAAATTTGGACCACATAGGAGTTTTTAAGGGAGAAAAAGCAGAGGGAGGAAGAAGAGTTGCAAAGGCAGAGAGGCTGGAAACAAGAGCATTTGGTAACTGCCACCCCTGGAGGTGGGAATGAGGGGTGGGAACTAGTGGAGGTTAGACTGGAGGGAAATCAGGGTCAATTAATGAAGGGCCCAGTGAGGAGTCATGGACTCCTCCATGAGGAGTCTGGACTTTGTCCTGAAGCAGTGGGACACCCCAGCAGGGCTTTTAAACAGGGAAGTTATATGGTCAGACTTACATCCTGGAAAGATAATTCTGATTGTGGTATGGAAAATGGATTTGCAAGTAAAAAGAGTTAAGAGGAACGGAGGAGATGCAGTTGTTAATCTTGCACCGGCTCCCCTTCACCTGAGTTTAGGAATTTAGGGTCTCGTCTGACCACCTGACCATTTCCAGGGTTTACCCTGGGATCTTCAGGAAGAGATGCAAAAGGGCAAGGGTGATTCAGGTCCTGTCTAGTCCAAGTGGTGAGCCACTGGGCTCCAGCATGTGGCACTGACCTCACATCAGAGCTGTATACCATACATGAACAACTTGACATTCTTTCAGTCAGATTTCTTGATCTTTGTGCAGCAGTTAATGCCTATGTCTCAGTTTCCGTTTCCTCAAGCTTATCATTGGGTTGTCTCATCACAATCCCTCCAAAATGCAAACTGACATTGCTATCACCCTGACATAAAGGGATTTGGTTTCTTTTGGGATCTGGACTCATAGCTGTGTTGTCAGAACCTCTAGTCCACTGTACAGCAAGCTTCCTGAGGCCAGTCACACGTTCTCTGAAGAGACCTTTTAAACACAAGCCCCACCTTAATTTAGATTGGGGGTCAGCAAACTACTGCCTGTGGGCCAAAGCTGCTTGCCACTTACTTTTAGAAATAAAGTTTCATCAGAGCACAGCCACACTCATTCATTTATGTAGTATATATTATCTATGACAGCTTTTATGGTACAATAGCAGAGGTCAGTAGTTGTAACAGAGACCAGTGTGCAAAGCCTGAAATATTTACTGTTTGGTCCTTTACAGAAAAATTTTGCTGATCCCTAGTCTAGACCAGCACTGTTGAATAGAAATATAACTCAAGCTCTCTACGTGACTTAAGATTTTCTAGTAGCCACATTTAAAAAAGCAAAAAGAAACTAGTGAAATCAACTTTAATAATGTCTTGTTTAACATATGTCCAAAATATTGTTTCAATATATAGTCAATATCAAAGTTAATAATGAGATATTTTACATTCTTTTTTTCATACTATGTCTTCAAAATCCAGTGTGTATTTTACACTGAGCACAGCTCAACTCAGACCAGCCACATTTTACACCATACAAGGAGTAAGACCGGCACTAGACCTTGGAGTAGACATCAGCCTTGACAGGACTCTGAGGCCACTGTTGTTCCATAGCTGATGTGCCAGTCCTCCTTCAGGGCTCTTGGCTCTTTCCCTCAGAAGATGGCCCAGCATAAAAAAGACAAATGTAAGGGTGCCTGGATGGCTCAGTCGGTGAAGCGTCCGATTTTGGCTCAGGTCATGATCTGACCTGAGCCATCAGATCATGAGTTCAAGACTTCGTAAGTTCAAGCCCTGCATCAAGCTCTGTGCTGACAGCTCAGAGCCTGGAGCCTGCTTCAGATTCTGTGTCTCCCTCTCTCTCTCTGAGCCTCTTCCTCTCACACCCTATCTCTCTCAAAAATAAATAAGCATTTAAAAAACAAACAAACAAAAAAGACAAATGTACTATTCCAGTTGCAAAATGTGGCAACCTCCTCCCTGAGTGTGCTGAGTCTGTACTTTCAGAATTAGGCACTCTGGAAGGCTTGTGGTGGTGGAGTTCTTCTAATTCTGGGTCCTTTCTTTGGTGGTTTAAATCATACAGGAGACGGATGTCATGACAAAGACTACCCACTTCCCTTGACCCACCAGAGCTGGAAGGATGTCATACTGGAAGCAAGGCCAGAAGAAACGTATTTTGCAGAATTTAGGCCTTGGTGAAACTCGGAGACCTCCAAGTCTTGTTTTTAGTTCTTTTGAACCTCTGTCTTAGAGCATATAGTCAGTTATGGGAATGTCTGTGAGTTTCATCTTTCCCCTGATTTTTTTTTTCAGTTTATTTCTTTACTACTTATAGAGAAGGGGTCATACAGAATAAAATTTAAATGTTTATCCTTGGGTACTTGTGGTTCCCTTGATCCTGACTCAGGATGTAGCCAACTCTTTCCTCCAGAACACTTCAACTCTTTTCTCCATCAGGGCTTTTATTCAGGATACACCTCTTATTTTGAAATCCTCCTGTTTAGAAAAGTGGCCTGATGCCCTTCATTCATAGTCTATGGCATCCTCTTCCACTATTTTCATTCTTTTTTCTTAAAATGTTTTATTTATTTTTGAGAAAGTGCAAGTGGGGGAGGGGCAGAGAGAGAGGGGAACAGAGAATCCCAAGCAGGATCTGTGCAGACAGTAGTAAGCCTGATGTGGGGTCAAACTCAGGAATCATGAGACCATGACGGGAAGCAAAGTTGGAAGCTTAACAGACTAACCCACCCAGGTGCCCCATCCTCTTCTACTATTAATGGACATGGCTTAGTGAACATTTATCTACTCAATATATATTTACTGAGCACTACTCTGTGTTGGGCAGTGTTCTAGGCATGGAGATATGGTGGTGAAAAGGATATGATCATTGCCCATAAGGTGAGAGATTCAGACTCTTAGAAGCATAATTCCGGTGCAAGGCAAGTTGTGCAATGATTTGCATATGGATGGAAGGGTCACCTGAAGGAGGTGGGGTTGGAGGAGGAGGGGAAGACAAGAGAAAGGGAATGCTTCATGTCGTCAGACTCAGTGCAGAGTGACCTGGTCATGATTTGCTTTTGTTCCTGCAGGCCAAAGCCCAGGAAGTCCTACAGAAGCTGGGTGATGTGCAGGAGATATTTCACAAGAGGCAAATGAGCCTGATGAAACTGGCAGCCAGACAGACTCGCCCGGTGCAACCCGTGGCCCCTCATCCTGAGTCCTCCCCAAAATGGGTGTCACCGAAAACCAGCCAGCCCTCCACCTTGGGTAGGTTATTTGGAGAGGAAGCTTCGTGCCTTTATGTTTCATCAGTGCTCATGAGGGTTGAGACTGTGATTGCTTAAGATGCATAATGGTTGTTGTTTTGACAAATATTATTTAAAATAAACTACAGATGTGGAATAGTACAGGCATTGAAGACTTTATAGAGTTAGGTAAAAAAACTGAGTGCCTGGATACAAGGAGACCTCACAGTCTAGAAGAGGAATAATATACATGTGCAAACAACATCAGCATAAAATAGTCTCCATTAAGGACCTTTAAAATGCTTACAAGATTCTATTAGCAATGGAGTGGTAAAGTTTGGAAAGATAAAAACAATAGATAAGTCTTTACACCCATCCTGCATGGTCTTCATTACTATAGCTTACTAGTAAGCCTTGAGATCAGGTAGGGTACATCTTCTAACTTTGTTCTTTTTCAAGACTATTTTGGCTGTTTTAGATTCTTTTTATTTCCATATAAATTTTATTTTATTTTTTTTAATGTTTATTTTATTTATTTTGAGAGAGAAAGAGAGAGAGAGCAAGCGGGTGGTGGGGGCAAAGAGAGAGGGAGAGAGAGGATCCCAAGCAGTCTCTGCACTGTCAGCACAGAGCCTGATGCAGGGCTCGAACTCACAAAACATGAGATCATGACTTGAGCCGAAATCAAGAGTCTGCCCCTTAGGGGCACCTGGGTGGCTCAGTTGGTCAAGTGTCTGACTTTGGCTCAGGTCATGATCTCACCATTCATGGTTTCGAGCCCTGCATCAGGCTCTGTTCTGACAGCTCAGAGCCTGGAGCCTGCTTCAGATTCTGTGTCTCCCTCTCTCTCTGCCCCTCCCCTGCTCATGCTCTGCCTCTCAAAAATAATGTTAAAAAAATTTTTTTTAAAGTCTGCTACTTAACGGCCTAAGCCACCTGGATGCCTCCCATTTAAGTTTTAGAAGCACATTTCAATTTCTGCTGAGATTATGCTTGAGGTTGCACTCATTTTAGAGATCAATTTGGAGAGAACTGTTGTCTTACCAATATTGAGTCTTCCAATTCATAAATGTTGTTAACTTTCCATTTATGTAGGTCTACTTTAATTTCTCTTGGCAGTATAGTATTTTTTTGTTTTTGTTTTTGTTTTTTTGGTGTGGCTTTTTAAAAAGTTTTTATTTAAATTCCAATTAGTTAACATAAAGCATGATATTAGTTTCAGGTGTACAATATAGTGATTCAACACTTCCATGTAACACTCGGTGCTCATCACAAGTGCACATCTTAATCCCCATCATGTATTTAACCCCCACGTTTCCACCTTCTCTCCTCTGATGACCATCAGTTTGTTCTCTATGGTTGAGTCTGTTTCTTGGTTTGCCTCCCTCTCTCTTTTTTTCTTCTCCCTTTGCTCATTTATTTTGTTTCTTAAATTGCACACCTGAGTGAGATCATATGGTATTTGGCAGTATAGTAGTTTTGAGTATAGAGGTCTTAGCCATTTCATGTTTTTTTTTAAGTGTATAGTAAATGGAACTTACCATATATAACTATCAATAAGAATATATTTCTGCATAAAATACAATCAGGTCATCTGTGAATTGGGACATTCTGCCTCTTCTGTTTCAAACTTCATGCTTTTTCCCTTTGCCTTATTATAATGGCTAAGACCTCCAGTACAATGTTAAATAGAAGGGGTGAGAGCAGACAACCTTGTCTTTTCCCAGTATTAGGGGAAATAATTCATTTTTTACCTTAAAGTGTGATGTTAACAGTAAGTTTTTTACAGATGCCTTTTACCAAATAGAGGAAGTTCCCTTCTCTCCCTCATTTGATGAGAATTTTCATCATGAATGATTGTTGACTTTTTCAGATGCTCTTTTTGGTGCATATATTGAAGTAATCATATAGTTTTTCTCCTTTATTTGTTAATGTGGTGGATTGCAATGATTTGTTTTCAAATATTAAAACAATTGTACATTCCTAGGATAAACTGCTCTTGGATATGATATGTATATCATTCTTTACTTCATGTATTTTGAAACTGTTATTAAGCACTTACATGTTCATAATTGTTATGTCTTCCAGATATACTGGCCCTTTTATAATTAGGAAATATCTCTCCTTCCCTCCTTTAGTAATACTCCTTGTCCTGAAGTCTATTTTGTCTGATACTAATATAGCATTCAGTTTTCTTGTGCTTAGTGTTTGCATGATATATTTTTTCCTTTCTTCTGTTTCCTTGTTTTTAAAGTATATCTCTTATAGGCAGCATATAATTGGGTCTTGGCTTAAAATTTTTTTTAGTTTATTTATTTTTGAGAGAGAGAGAGAGAGAGAGAGAGAGAGAGAGAGAGAGAGAGATCATGAGCAGGAGAGGGGCAGAGAGAGAGGGAGATACAGAATCCAAAGCAGGCTCCAGGCTCTGAGCTGTCAGCACAGAGCCAGATGTAGGGCTGGAACTCCTGGACTGCAAGATCATGACCTGAGCCTAAGTCAGGTGCTTAACTAACTGAGCCACCCAGACACCTGGGTCTTGACTTTTTAATACATTCTGTTAACCTCTGCCTTCTAATTGGAGTATTTAGTCCATTTTCATACAATATAATTATTGATATAGTTGGATTTAGAACTATAATTTTGTTATTTGTTGTTTATTGTCTCATTTTTTTTATTCCTCTGTTCCTCCTTTCCTACTTTCTTTTGCGTTAGCAAATATTTTTAGTGTTCTGTTTTAATTTCTTTATTGGCTTTTTAGCATACCTCTTTGCATTGTTTTTCCCAGATATTTTCCTTAGAGATTATTATGTTCATTTCTCACAGTCTACTTAGAGCTAATATTATAGCATCTTATGTAAAATATAGGAAATTTGTAACATTATAGCTCCATATGCTTCCTTCCATGCTCTGTGGTATATTCTTCTGTATAGTCTGTTATATTTTATATATATAGTCTTTTACATCTACTCTCTTTTTCAGGCATTTCCAGTGTTCTTTTTATTCCTTACTGTAGATCTGAATCATCATTTTGTGTCATTTCTCTCCAGGCTGAAGAACCTATAGCATTTCTTGTTGTGCAGATCTTCTGGCAACAAATCCTTTTTGTTTCTATTTATCTGAAAATTATGGGGTCTTCTGATAATTCTCCATTTAGTATGATTTACAGTCCTCTGTCTCCTGTCACATATTCCACTTTTTAGAAGCAAGTCTTGACAACAGTTTGGTGCATTTATTTCTTGAATTTTCTGTGTGCACACACATACACACACACTCATAGACATAAATGCATATGCACACTCAATATACTTTTGCACACATCCTGCTGACACAAACAGACACTCACACACATGGAGTCATCTTTTTGGATAGCTAGAAACAGGACTTGGCTCTCCTTACTTCTCATCTAGGGCTCTTTCCCAAAACTAAATTATGCTCACTTCTATGATTTTTTTCCTCTGTCATTGTTTTAAGGGATATATGTTTGTTATAAGCAAATAAAGTGAGAATGACAGCTTGTTTCTCTTTCTTTTTCAAACATAAGATTTCATAAAAGACAGTGACCCTTCTAGGGTAAACAGACTTTGTCATGTCTGAATGGATATCACTGACTTGGCAACTTGCTCATTCTGCAGAACAATTCTGCACTTTTGTTTTGGATAGTAACCACTGAGTATGGATTCAAGCAAATCACTAATAGGATTTTCAGACACATTTGTCTGATTCCTTAGTAACTGCGTCTGTTCCAGGATAAATCACTACATTTCACAGTGTAAGGAATGTGAGGGAGCTGGAATCTTGACTGTGACTCTTGTTAGCCGGTGCCTTGGTTACAATATTTAACTTCTCTGAAGTTTATAAAGAACGTGAAAAAATTCTTTTGTGGCTGTAATCATAGCTAAAATTTACTGTTTACCATGATCTAAACACTTGGCATATATTAACTCATTAAGCCTCATAACAACCCTATACTGTAGGCTTTCTCATTATTTCACATTTTATAGACGAAGATGGTGAGGCACAGAGATTACTCTGATAATATGTGTCTTGGACAAGGAATAGCAAGACTCGAATGCCGGCAGTGTGGCTCCTTGCCCCTGCCTTTAACTTCAGCACTTTACTTACATTGTTAAGGGCAGGTACTCCTCAGCCGTGGGTGTTGCCGATTAGAATGTATTATGCGCTTCTAGCATCCAGTTATTATGCCTGCAATCACTCAGCTTACAGGGATCCTGCAGAGAGTGAGGCGCCCAAAGGAGTGTTCATTGTTATGAATTTTCTTCAGGGGTTATAGAACCAGGAGCAGCAAACAGTGTACTTCACTACAGATTTCAATAATATCTGTGAAAGAGCCATAGAAAGCCCAAGCGGATTCCAGTTGACTCACAGAACCTGGGGTTGGGAGGAACCTCTGGAGGCCACAGTTTACCACAGATAAATTCACCACAGATAAGAATCAGGGCGATATATTGGGGGCATTAGATGGATGGTATTTTGGCCATAGGACCTAGAAGTGCTCAAATTCTGTCCTGGGTTAATCACATGTATCCTGTGAGTTTTCCAGGGGAACTCTACACACAAGGTTGTTGACAGTGACAAGAACTCGTACCACTTATTTATTAGCCTTGTAGCCATCATCCCCAGTGCAGCCTTCTGGCAAAGCTGGGTGAGAAAGCCTCAAGGCCTAACCAGGGCTTCTCCTCCACAAGTCCCATTCTTCCTGCCAAATGGCCTTGGAGCCTGAAGAAAGGATGTCTCCCAGGTGTCCAAGAGCTCTGTGGAAAGGAGGGGAGGGTGACGGAGTGACAGAGAGAAGAGAACAAGAGCAAGATAGCCCAGTTCTGTCCTGACTGAGCTAACCGATTTTTCCCATGGTTGTCTCATCCACTAACAAATGCAGTTCCATCAGTTCTGGAATCCAACTGGGAGATTAGCAACAATTTCTGGCTGGGCAGGCATAGACATCCACTTATATAATCATAGTATGACTATGTGAGTGTGGGTGTGGGGTGGGTGTGTGTGGGTATGTATGTGGAGAGTGAGAGAGAGGGAGAAAACATTTTAAAGAAGACTATAAGGAAGTATACCAAATGGTTGTGTTTAAGTGGTAAGATTTCAGTATTTTTCAAAAATTGTCGATGATAAGCACAAATTAACTACCTCTATAATGAAAAAATATATATCCAATGAATGTGGTATTTGGAATTGAATCTGGTCTTTTAATCCAAAACATCAACTGCAATATTATACAGTACAAAGATAAATGCTAAAGCAGCAGTGCATAGAAAGATCCATCAAGGGTTTTTAAAAATGTGTTTATTTTATTTATTTTGAGAGAAAGAGAGAGAGAGTGAGCAAGCAGGGGAGGGACAGGGAGAGAGGGAGAGAGAGGATTTTTTTTTTTTTTCTTTTTATTTTTGTGACAGAGAGAGACAGAGCATGAACGGGGGAGGGGCAGAGAGAGAGGGAGACACAGAATCGGAAACAGGCTCCAGGCTCCGAGCCATCAGCCCAGAGCCCGACGTGGGGCTCGAACCCACGGACCGCGAGATCGTGACCTGGCTGAAGTCGGACGCCCAACCGACTGCGCCACCCAGGCGCCCCTAAATTTTTTTAATGTTTACTTATTTCTGAGACAGAGAGAGAAGAGCATGAGTGGGGGAGAGGCAGAGAGAAAGAGGGAGACAGAATCAGAAGCAGGCTCCAGGCTGTGAGCTGTCAGCACAGGGCCTGATGCAGGGCTCGAACTCACAAACCGTGAGATCGTGACCTGAGCCGAAGTCGGTTGCTCAGTCGACTGAGCCACCCAGGCGCCCCTGATTTAAAGAGGGCTCTGTGCTGACAGCAGAGAGCCCAATGCAGGGCTTGAACTCACGAACTGTGAGATCATGACCTGAACTGAGTCAGATGCCTAGCCGAATGAGTCAAGAATCTATAAAGTTTTAATGTCCAGGAAGACTTCATGAAGAAAGTGACTTTTTTATGGAGACTTAAAAATGGGAATGATGGAAACTCTATCGTTTTTACCACATTGTATTTACTGATTTATTGTGGTTTGATGTTTCATGTGATGTTGTGTGTGACTTCTGTCTCTTTGAATCAAATGTTAAATGCCTGGGGTCAAGAACTATTTCTTTTCTGCTCTCTCCTTCACCTTCAATTTCATCCCCCACCTCACAAATCACCACGGCAGCTCAGTTAAGCTTTGTTAATCAGTTGGCCCCACACAGTCCAGGTGCTTGTCCAAGCCAGGCTATATACTGAGTTATTTATAAGCTGAGTTGACAAATTAATGGCAGGTTTTCTTTGTTTTTCTAGCTCCTCTTCAGAGAACATCAGAGGAACCTTGTACAGGGACAGTAGAAAAAGATGATAAAACTAAATTTGAAATCAAGGTAAGATCATCTTTCTCTTTATGGATAAAAATTTCTGATATGAAAGAATATTGCTGCCATAATTACCAATAAATCAGATTCCCCTAACCCAACCCCAAAAGATGTGTCCATAAAGGCATGTAGCACAGATTAGTGCTCTCAAGAGCTGAGGTTTTGTGGGATTTCTTTCTTCTTAATTGTGAGTAGAAAAACTGTCTGGCCATGAATGGAATTCTTGGGAGATACTATGTTATTGAGGGAAAAGTCATTTTGTTCTTTCCTATATTCTGACTTAGTATTTAAAATTGGTAGAAGTGTGTGGTTTATGTACAAAAAAAGACAAAATTTCTTAGAGCTACACATACACACGTGCATGTCTAACTGGTGAACTCTAAATAGGCTCTGTAGATTGTGCAAGCATCATGTTCTTGCTTTTAATACTATGCTCTAGTTATGGAAGATATCAGTATTGGAGGAATTTGGGGGAAGGGTACATGAGACTTCCCTGTATTTCTTTGCAACCTTATGTGAATCCATAATTATTTCAAAGTAAAAGTTAAGGGGGAAAAAAAGCATGAGCTTTGCAATCAAGCAGACTTACATCTATGTAACATGACCTCTCTAAACCTTGGTTTCTCCTCTGTAAAAATGGGGATAACAACAGCTGTTGTCTGAAACTAATTTTTAGCAGCAAACAAATATTTGAAAATTGCCAAGCACTGTATAATTGTAAAGTAACATTATATTTAAATACCCAAATACAATGAATTGTGAATATATGTTGCTGCAAAAGCAGCCCTAGAAGGGGTCCCTTTTCTTTTGGCTCACTAAAAGTGAGTATCTAGCTGATGGAATGGTTCTGAAAGCAGAGGCCAGTAGACCATGGGCTCACACAGTTTGGGTCCATTATCTGTGCCTAATGTGTCTGAATATAGGACCCCACTGACAATTATGAAGTCAGGCAGAAAGCAGGTCTCAGACTTTTCTTCCTAGAAGCAAAAACAATGTAGGAAGTAGAGTTCCCAGCTGACTTTTCTTAGAAAGAGAAAGCTGCATTCTTCTGTTTAGTCATCCTTTTGTATTTGGGGCAGATTAGGACATTGCTACAGCTGTTTCGGAATCCCGTGTGGTTGGAGGAATTGCATTACCATATCTTCCAGAGTTAGGAAACCGTCTGCAGTTTCACACAGTTATGATCAGCCATTTGAAAGAGTAAATAGCAAATTAAAAAAAAATTATTTTAACGTTTATTCAGTGTTGAAAGATAGAGCATGAGCAGGGGAGGGGCAGAAGGAGGGGGGGGGACACAGAATCTGAAGCAGGCACCAGGCTCTGAACTGTCAGCACAGAGCCCGACACGGGGCTCGAACCCATGAATGGTGAGATCATGACCTGAGTCAAAGTCGGCCACTTAACTGATTGAGCCACCCAGGCACCCCAGCAATTTTTTTTTTTTAAATGGGCAACTGTAATGAGACTTCGCCAGACTGGACATCCATGAAGTCTGTGGAATTACTTAGTGACATAAAAAGGGTTTAACTGTGATCAACTTTAAAAGTGAGCATTAGGGGCGCCTGGGTGGCGCAGTCGGTTAAGCGTCCGACTTCAGCCAGGTCACGGTCTCTCGGTCCGTGAGTTCGAGCCCCGCATCAGGCTCTGGGCTGATGGCTCAGAGCCTGGAGCCTGTTTCCGATTCTGTGTCTCCCTCTCTCTCTGCCCCTCCCCCGTTCATGCTCTGTCTCTCTCTGTCCCAAAAATAAATAAACGTTGAAAAAAAAAAATTTAAAAGTGAGCATCATTCTACCCTTTTCTGTGCCTGGGCTTCAGAGACTTTTATCTCTGAATGTGGCAAGTGTATCAAAGCCCAGATCCAGCCCCTGAACTCATATGCTGTTGCCATTAACACACAATGTGATTTGAACTTACCTCGTAACTGTGATTTTCTCTGCCCATATTGAGACAACATATTTATGGCCTACACACTTTATAAAGATGCCATAGGAGTTGTGTGTACATGGAGGTTCTCGTATAAAAGAATCCAAATTAGGGTGAATTATTTCAACAATTGTGAACAATAAAAATGAGTGCTATTGTTTAATTTGTTGGGGAAGAAAAGGAAATATAGTCAGTAAGCATAAAGCACCTTTTCTCAGGGAAGACCTGAAGATATTTAAGAAGAAACCATAAGCTACATTTATTATTTACTCCTATTTCATATGTTAGTAAAAATAGACAATGCAGGAACTATAGGGAAGGGGAAGAATCAGAAGCCTATAGGGTTGGAAAATGTTAAGTAGAATCCAAGAATCTCTGACCACCAGACTTTTCGTTTCTTCTTTTTTGGTTGTGCTATTTATTTAATCCAGACTCCAAGCACATCCTGCCAGGAGGCTGCCCCCCTTGTGTTTAGGCAGATCACCAAGAGCATAGGTACTAGGAAGCCAGCACAATTCCATTTTACAATTATCCTGGGATTTTGTTGTTGTTTTTCCTTACTGTTGCCTTGTTTGTGTATTTAATGAAGGGCTTTTCCTGCAACAATATGCATGTTAACGGTCAAGGTAGTGGAGGAAGCAGGGTAGAAACAGGCTGCCAGACTTCCTCAGTTTGGGCAAACAGAAGCTGGTCAGACTTCTGCTTCTAAACACCAAGAGTATGAGCAGAATCTATACAGTTGTGAACAACATGAGTAGGAAGGAAGAGGATTTATGAACTAAATCCCCAAATGCTAGACTTAAAATTCAATTCAAGACCAATAAATGCAATTGGCATTTGACAAGGTAGGTAATAAAACCAGGGAAATCATCATTTCAAAATATGTAAGAAAACTAGTAGAAAAAGAAGACAGGTTAGGGAAAAAAGTTTAGGGGCGCCTGGGTGGCTCAGTTGGTTAAGCGTCTGAATTTGGCTCAGGTCAT